TATGGCTTTATTTATTTTTTTTGTCTATTAATGGTGTCCTCTCTGCTGAAGAATCAAAAGAATGATTGTTCCTATATATATATATATGTGTGTATGTGTTCAAAAATATGAGATGGGGGTTTAAAATGTTTCCACAAACAGGTAGAAAGTTCTCTATTTGTCTCACCAATATAACTTTTTATTATTACTGATTTGTAGTTGTGCGCGACGTTCTCTTTTTAAAACTGATAAGTATAATTTTTACAGGCGTTCGTAAGGTACTTGTGGCTTATGCGCCACTTCTGTGAACTTTATACAACACATCTAAACAGAAGAAGTATTTTTGCAGCCCTTTAAATATGTGTTCTTCATTATGTGTGGTACACGTATAGTAACGAACTTTTACAGTATCGAGTGTATAAGCAAAGGAAGCTAGAAAAAAAACAACATACAAACGTGGTTCATTCATTAACTGGCACAAGTCTTCAATCTTATGAACTAGAAATTCTCTGTGGAAAAAACATAATTAGGACACGTGCGTATTATTAAATTATATTGGAAAAAAATGTTCACATTAGAACGTGTTTCTAATGCTCGTTACCAGCTGCAAAAAATCAACTCTCGCGACACCAAGCGACCATTGGGCGAATTGTTAGATTACTTGGCTTTCCCGATGATGAATTTTATGGCAAGCTCGAGGTACTGAACCACAGCTAACAACTGTCCTACCAGCGGGTAGTTCATTTTATATGACAGTTTCTTCTGTTCAACATCATATATTGTCACTATACCGACGCAGGTCTAAACTCTGTAAGCCAGTGATTTCAAAACTGTGGGGCGCTCCCCCCCTAGGTATGCTCGTATTGGCGGCTGGGGGAGGGGAGGCTTTTGGCTGAAGAGTCCAATAAAGCTTCTTTCTTTTTTTTTTGCTTTCGCGTTTACTCACTCCTTACAAGCATTTTTGTCAGTTTTAAAAACAGGTAAAGAAAATGTTGATTTTTGCTGTTATCACCTGCGAAAATTAAGTTAATGTGAAGAGGGAAGCAACGGAAACTTTGCTGAGTTGGGGGCGCCACTATTTAATGTTTGAAAAACACTGCCGTGCGCCGTCTGTTTTCTATTATTTTGTTTTACCTACTTTTCTAATTTTGCGTATTTTCCAGTTTGTATGACAGGGATGCATGTTCATTCAATATACATATAGATGTATAATGTATACACATTTTATATCTAATGCTGAATCTAAGGTTAATAAATCTACTATACTGATTTATAGTAATAACCATTTTTATACAGTAGAACACTATAAAGGTGAATATTTATTTAAACAACGTCCTCATTTATCAATGATAAAAGGTATCAATAAACCATAGTCAAATTTATCTACTCAAGTGAGTTAATCGTAATCTGGTTGGTTAGGATATTTATCTTATCTGAGGAAAATAGCATATGTTTTCTTTACTCTTAGATGAACCGTTTTGAAAAGCGGTTTACAAGTGCTGCCCATTAGTTTAAAATATCTCTATTTAGAATGAATGTAGAAAGCGGGTCTTAAGACAATGACCAATGCACGTGATACATAGTTGAGCGAAGGATAGCGCGATCGTGGTAAACTTCTAGCGCAAGACCGTTCCTGCACCATTTATCTCGAGGGTATCAATAATGAAAGGTCGTCAAAGCCTATTGTAATTCTGCCCAGTGAAGTGGAACCCTGAGATACTGGGTGCCTGTTCTCAGCATATCAACAACGAAATAGTTATTTGTGAGCAACCTTGAGCCTTACACTATCCGGGTCAAGGATACAAAGAAAGTTTAGAGGAACAGTCGGGTGTGATAACTTTTGTTTACCGCCATCTTGATAGTTCTTTTCTGGATCAAAAATGCGAATATCTAGTAATGATAAAAAAGCGTAGTGCAATAATTACGACAGGATAGTTCTGGGTCTGGGTTTGGGTTAAAACAGCGCCCTCTTATAAAGTAACTGTTATAATGCTTTATAAAATCGCTATGTTTTGGGGAAAAAATAAATGTAATAAACATCCAAAGGACGTATCAGCAACAAGCAACATAAATATTAATATTAGAGTTTATAAAACACGAGTTTACTTGAATATACAAAAAGGTGTATTCGAACCACTGGTTTTTCTCGAACGCACAATTGACTGATCCTACACTCGAATTATACGATTTGCTAACATGAGTTAAGGTTAAGCTCGGAGAGACAGAAAAAGCTCAGTGATTATACAGATTAAAATATATTTAGTTGTTTCCATTCGAGTAGTGCTATGATTTTATGAAGTCGATGTTAGTTCTATGAAATCAAGTTATGTAAATCCATCTAAACATCATTTAATCTTGTGTTTTATAATCTTGCATGTCCACAGATGGTGTCGTCAATGAGAAATGACAGGTTACAATACAAATTCGTAATGCAGCTTTTATGCCAGTTTTGATTTATCTCATGTGATCAAGGATTTCCTTACAGTAGTATGATAGAATTCCAAGTTTAAAAAGTTATATAATTTATTTGGCTTAATTAAAATATTCGCGACAAAATTACACAAGTTTGTCTGCACATAATCGTCCATAATTTTAAAGTTATAGACCAGAAATAAAGCAGCTATTTAACGGCATCCATTGCCAACCCTTACACTGCTACTGTCTGATTGAATATTGGGATTTAACTGTTACTTGTTATAGCGCACTAAACTGCGGAGCGAATTTTTTTTTTCGTCAATAGAACGATAGCCAGAAACTATCGGACCCACTGACCAGGAGGCACACTTACCACTACGCTATGCTCGTTCCTTTTTAAACGTAGCTCAATGCTTACTGACTGAGAATTTCAATCGTTTTTTTTTGTTTTAGGTGCGTTGAATTTTCAGAAAGTGAATTTAAACAGACAGATTTAATTTTTATAATTGTACCGTTTTATTTTGTTCATTTATTGTTTGTAATTCCAGTCTTGATTTATCTCTTTCATCTTTCACACTTTAGATCACACTATAATACAGTTTTTCTTCCAGTCCTGATTTATCTCTTTCATCTTTCACACTTTAGATCACACTATAATACAGCTTTTATTCCAGTCTTGATTTATCTCTTTCATCTTTCACACTTTAGATCACACTGTAATACAGTTTTCTTCCAGTCTTGATTTATCTCTTTCGTCTTTCACACTTTAGATCACACTATAATACAGCTTTTATTCCAGTCTTTATTCATCTCTTTCATCTTTCACACTTTAGATCACGCTGTAATACAGTTTTTATTCCAGTCTTGATTTATCTCTTTCATCTTTCACACTTTAGATCACACTATAATACAGCTTTTATTCCAGTCTTGATTTAACTCTTTTATCTTTCACACTTTAGATCACACTATAATACAGTTTTTATGCCAGTCTTGATTTAACTCTTTTATCTTTCACACTTTAGATCACACTATAATACAGCTTTTATTCCAGTCTTGATTTATCTCTTTCATCTTTCACACTTTAGATCACACTATAATGCAGCTTTTATGCCAGTTTTGATTTAACCACTTTCATCTTTCACACTTTAGACCACACTAAACAGCTGCATTATAGTGTGATCTAAAGTGTGAAAGATGAAAGAGATAAATCAAGACTGGAATAACAGCTGCATTATAGTGTGATCTAAAGTGTGAAAGAGGAAAGAGTTAAATTAAGACTGGAATAAAAGCTGTATTATAGTGTGATCTAAAGTGTGAAAGATGAATCAAGACTGGAATAAAAGCTGTATTATAGTGTGATCTAAAGTGTGAACGATAAAAATACACCTCCGCAATACGTGAGTCTTACACAGCAAAAGATGCTCATACTTTACATAGCAAACTCATGAGCGTGAGTTTTAACTAAAGAGTAAATTTCGGCACTTACAGCGATGTTCATCTTGTAGTATTCACACAGTTTACTGAACGTCTTTTGTACAGAAGATAAGTACTAACCTAACCTAAGTTTCCTAGTTAGTTTCTCAGGTTTTTATTAGTACATTAGCCTGGGTTCCGAAACTATGATCTTGATCTAAATAAACATGCACTATAAAAAACATAACAGTTTTAAAATTAATCGAGAATACTTTGACTGATATATGTCAAGATTCTTAACTCTTCATGGTAATGAGGTTTTCCACAAATATATTTCATTTACCAACTGCTTCCTAAGAAAAGCATCTGATAAATTATATTATGGTTTACCTTTTCACGTCATTTGTGACGGAATAGACGAAGTAAAGGTGGCTTATACGATTCTCAATTCTTCAATCGCAATAACCTCAGAAAACAAAAAACAGAATCGTACTTAAACTTGAAGTTAAAGTCAACTTTTATCGATATCTAATCAGGACCAACAGTGTGCATACTTCTTAGCCTTGTGTAGAGCAACTTACCAAGAAAATATGCTGTATTTCGTTAGATATGGCACATAAAGCTCATGCACGTGGAAACTCGGTTTCTTAGCCGCTCACGTTTTCAGCAATAATAAAACAGTATATTGGAACAGGACAACGTAATTTTAAATGTTCTGAAACTAAAACACCCAATATTCACCTGTGATTTGTTTCTTTAACTCTTTTTTTTTTTTCTCTATAGTTGTCGGAGAGAATCAGTAAAATGTGAACAGATCTAGCCGAAAATTTAGACTCAGATCTGCTTTCATCTATGTTGTAAATGAAAAAAGTTGATAAAGGCAGATCAAGGAGGTCTAGAGCCTAAAAGTTTGGATAAAAACCACATAAAACAAACCTTTAATTCAAGTTAATATTCCTTTTAACGTTAAAGGTTGATAAAATGTTTAGCTTGTCATGAGTGTTTTTCTTATCGCTGTTGAAGTCTGAGAATTGAAGCGTTCAGCGAAGCTCTTAGTATTATATACAAACAACACATACAGTTTTCAAACCAAGCTATACCTAATTTTAAAAAAACGAAGCAACAAATAAATAAATCATCGGTATAAAGAGAGAGAAACTTAAACTTTGCTATTATAATATAATCATCTTTACCTGTTTATGTTCTTGCCTCGAACTCAGAAACCTAAATACTTTCTTCTTTAGAGAGCAAAGACAAAGTTGACTACCCTGTGAAAACGTACAAGAACCGATAGAACGTTTTCCTTGAGATGCTGACTACTAGATTTATAGCGAGTAAGGCGGTTGCGTCTTCTACGCCGCTCGGTCAGAGGGTGCAGTTGATGAGAAACGTGACATCTGATTGGCTAATACTGGGACACAGTATTAATTTAAAGCGTTAAGTAGTTTGATTTGAAACAAAAGAATGCGTGGAATATTTTCACCATTCAACATTCTACCTTAATAACCTATTAGTGAAACATAGAAAAATATGTAATGACATACTATTTTTGAGTCATTGATAATGTTTATTTTGTTACCACATTAACAATAAGATGTTACAAAAACAAATGAATCATAGAAAAATATTTGCTTTAAAAGTTTACGATAATTAAATTTGATTGAATCGGTAGCTGATTTCCAGATAACATCGCCCAAATCGCGTAATAAACATTACTGATAGTAGACCATGTGTCTACATAAAAAAAAATGTCTTTGATAGTAGACTTACACTAGCGACCAGGGCTGCTATAATGCAAATTTAATGCTTGAACTACTATTTTGCACTTTTTCCGTTTAATTATCATTGCCGCTATAATGCAAGTTTAATTTATTTAATAGAGTTACGAACGGTAATTAGTACGTCTACTTATTTACGTGCTCTAATATAAATCAGTGACAAATTTGGGGCCGCTTTCGGGGAATCTCAGTAAAAGTGTTTTCGCGAGATACTCAGGTTTCCTCAGGGGTTGGGTGAAAAGTCTTACCTTTGTGCAAACCTCGGGGCCGAGACGATTCGTTTGGCACCATTTAGAAGTTGGTAATTTCAGCAGTTTAGGAGAAAGAGTTTTCGAAAAACCCTGGCTTTCCCAAGGGGTCGCTCGTGGGGTGAAGAATGTTACTGCTGTGCAAACCTTGGGACCGAGACCATTCGTTTGATACAACTTAGAAAAATATCCATCAACACGAGAATTACAATAAATTAAAATGCAATGAAATGGGGGAAAATTGTTTTTATAATAAAAAAATTCAAAATTAAGTTTATTGTTACGACAGCGGAAGTCACGTGACCCTGGTAACACGTAATGAGTTCTAGAAAGATCGTGAACATCACGAATAATCCAGTATTTGCTAGGCGCCCTTTATTCTTGTATATAAGTGCGCCAGGCAATTAATCGAAATTGAATTGCAAACAGGCAGAAATAGAGAAGGACAATTGAGTCAAGCGCGGTAAAGTGCGTGAATCGTTCGTTGTGAATTATAGCGTGTGTTTAAGTTAATATGACTGTGGAAATTAAGTGTATTGCAAAGTTGAATTGAGAAAGAATAAACTAGTTTTATTTAAGAAAAGACTTGTATCGCTGAAGTTCTTCGGAAAGAATTTTTACGAGTAATTAACCAACGATCAGAGACGTAACAAATTGGTGTCAGAAGT